ATTTATATAGAGCAACTAGAAGGCTTCAAAGCCAAGGTAAAGAGAACTTTGCCTGCAAATTGAAGAAGAGCTTGTATGAGCTAAAGCAAGCTCCAAGACAGTGGTACAGAAAGTTTGATTCATTTATGCCAGAAAATGGATACAAAAGAATGGCTTCAGATCATTGTATGTATATCAAATGGTTTGGTGAAGATTTTATTATTCTCTTACTTTATGTTGATGACATGCTTATTCTTGGGAAAGATATGTCTAAAATTGACAGATTGAAGAAGGAACTGAATGAGTATTTTGCAATGAAGGACATGAGGCCAGCAAAGCAAATACTGAGTATGCAGATTTCTCCTGACAGAAAAAAAAAAAGAAGATTTGGTTGTCACAGGAGAAATACATCGAGAAGATATTGGAAAGATTCAGTATGAGCAATGCAAAACCAGTTGGTTCTCCTCTTGCATGTCACTTCAAGTTGTGCTCATAACAGAGTCCGTCAAGTGATGAGGAGAAGGAGAAAATGCAAAAGGTTCCTTATGCTTCAACAGTTGGAAGTTTAATGTATGTAATGGTATGTATGAGGCCAGACATCGCATATGCAATTGGTGTTACTAGCAGATTTCTTACAAATCCAGACAAAGAGCACTGGACAGTAGTGAAGTGGATTTTTAGATATCTCAAAGGGGGCTCTAAGGTTTGTTTATGCTTTGGAGGTGGACCATATGTATTAACAGGTTACACAGATGCAGATATGACAAGAGATATAGATACGAGAAAGTTTACTTCAGGTTATGTACTTACTTTTGTAGGGGGAGCTGTGTCATGGCAATCCATGTTGCAAAGGTATATTGCTCTCTCCACCACAGAAGCAGAATATATTGCTGCTATAGAGGTATGCAAAGAAATGTTATGGATGAAAAAATTCTTACAAGAATTAGGGCTGAAACAGAAAAATTATGTGGTGCATTGTGATAGCCAGAGTGTCATCCATTTATGTAAGAACCCAATATTTCATTCCAAGTCAAAGCATATAGATGTCAGATACCACTGGATTCGAAATATATTTGAAGAGAAGCAGTTGCAACTTCAGAAAATTCACACAGATGACAACGGAGCAAACATATTGACAAAGACTTTACCAAAAGAAAGACAAGAGATATGCCGACAATTGGTCGGTATGGCTTCACATTGAGGAGTCATGAGATAGCCTCCCTTATGGGCTGAAGGGGGAGGTTGTTGGGCTGACAGCCCAAAGTGGGTTCAGCCCTGGTGGGCTTTATCAACCCACACCCCTTTGACCTAACCCTAGATCAATATAAGGGGGGTGTGGTGGCTACGTTTTGGTGTAGGTGGCTGTGTTTTTGGGAGAAAAACTACAGCAACGTAGAGATCTTCGCAGTAGAAAAGAGGAGAAGAAAAAGACAGAAAAACAAGAGAAAGAAAGAGAAGAAAACAATGACAACGCAGAGAGACTGTTCTCAATCATCTAGCAGTGTTCTCATCTCAAGTTAGATCAAATCTACAGTAGACTCTTGCTGTGATTACTTGGGGAGGTTTTAGATATTGTGGATAGTGACGTGATCCTTATATCCCATTTATTTTCTTATGATTGTTGCTAGGGTTTAGGGCAAGAGATTGAGATTTGTATATTTATTATTCTCGTAGTGGATTATCTCAAGTTTGCCTCGTGGTTTTTACCCTTCACATTGGAGGGATTTTCCATGTATATTTTGGTGTTCTATTTAATTGTGATTTCATTTAATTCCACTGCATATCATGGCCTGCTAGTATTTGTTCAGATACAAAAGTTATTTCGCTTTATATCCCATCATGAACGGCCCAAACATTGCCCCAAGAGGTGACACCATCGTGGCACAATCTCCGAGACTGTGTCGGGCGGTGGAACCGCCTCTAGCAGAGTGCCAAGCGGTGGTACTGACAGTTTGAGCGATGGTACCGCTCAGTGGCAGGTTGCCAAGCGGTGGTACCGCCAGATTGGACGGTGGTATAGTCAGATTGGACGGTGGTACCGCCTAGTGCAGTGTTAGTGTTAGACTAACACTATCGATGGTACCGCCCAACACAAGCGGTGGTACTGCCCGGACCCAAGAAACTCGGGATGAGATGTTTTTAGGCTCCAAGTTTGAATCAAATTGAAGCTTATAAATACTCCTCTCATCCCTAGTTAAAAGACACAAGTATTGAGAGTGAAAAAGGAAAGAAACGCTGCTACAATATTGTGTGAACTCCTCTTAAAGTTATAAGTGTTAGAATAGTTTGAGAGAGGAGTAAGTGGGTAAGAGTTATCTACTAAACCCGATAAAAGGAAGATCGAGTTGTAAAAGGTGGTTAGTCTTCGCTTATTGAAGGAAGACCGATAGTGGATGTTAGTGGCCTCAACGGAAGCTGAATCGGCATAGTAGATGTAGGTCACGACGACCGAACCACTATAAAATTGGCGTGCTCTCTGGTTTGCATTTCTATTATTGCTATTTACTTCACTGCAAACCATTTTACTTGCTTAATTCCTTCGATACATTTACGAACACGTGTTTCAAGTTAAGTTTCCAAAATTGGTTTTCAATGAATGAATAGATTTTACGAAGTTGATATTACGAAGTTAAGTACATATATTTACATATATATGTATATATATAT